GAATATAAATTGGTACAGAAACGCTGGAAAACAGAACGGAGATTCCTTCAGAAACCAGAAATAGAACCAGTCTGTAGCAGCACTGTGATAACTGGGGGAACTTCCAGTGGAAACGAAGTCGGTGCGTCTGAGACTCCTGAACAGCCTTGTTTGCTGCTGCCCAGCTCACGGCAGCCAGGATGCGGGGTCCACCGAGGCGTCTGTTAGTGGATGAATGAATGTAGTGGGCGTGCACACACACGCACGCACACACACATATGCACACGCACGCACGCGCGCGTGCACACACACACACACACACACACACTCACTCACGGCTGCTACTCAGCCATAAAAAAGAATGAAATCTCATTGTTTCCATCAAAGTAAATGAAGCTAGAGGATATTACGTTCAGTGGAGTGAGCCAGAGAGAGCAAAACAAATACCTCATGTTTCCTTCATAAAGGGGAACCAGACTCGGAACAGGTATCCAGTCACAGAAAAGAGGAATTCGTGCCGGTGTGCCGTAGCCTGCCAAGTTATCTGAACAACATCCTACTATATATTTCAGAATAACTGGAAAGGCTGGGGAGATAGCTCAGCAGCAGTCTAGGCGCCAGCCTGGCCAGTGCAAGGACCCGAGTTCAGTCCCCAATACCACATGCTGTGTTGGCTGAAACTGGGCATGGCGGCACGCACCCGTAATCCCAGTGCTGGGCAGGCTGAAACGCGAGGACCACGACTAGTCTGACCTGTGTAGTGAAACCCTGAATCAAATAAATAAATGAAAATAAAAAAAATAACTGGGAAGTCTAACCGTTCCCAACACATAGACATGATTACTGTCTGAAGAGATGGAAACGCTTATTGCTCTGCTTTTGCCATTATATGTTACATACATGTATGGAATAACCCTACTCTGTCCCAGAAATATGTACAAATATAACATGTCAATAGTAAAAGGAAAGAAGAAAGCAAGCAGCAGAGAGATGGTACGCATTTGTTCTCCACTGATACCTTCTTAGGCATAAATGAAGATCCTGAAGCAGTGTTTCTAAGACAGAATTGGAAAAAATGTTCCATCAGCCAGTATGCTTCCTTTGTGGCCAGGGTTGGACTTTTTTTTTTTTTAAGTTGATAGGTTGGTTTTGTGGACATGATCTTTTTTCCCATCTCTCTTATGAAGCAAGTCTTCCCTCCCTGCGCCTACAATGTGTCTATGCATCGATTCTGATCACATTAAGAACTCAGGAAAGATCCGATTCTCTTAGGTGAGAAGGTTCACGCCATGGGCCCGGGCGGTCGGGGGCTGCGCCTCCTGGAAGGTGAGGAGCTCGAAGCTCTTGGCTGAGCTAGGGTTCTACCTTCAAGCTTATAAAACAGCGCTCCGGCCCACAGTAGGCAGTTTCCCTAAGGAAGCCTTTAATGTCCACCCCCCGGGACTTCAGCACTGAGGGACAGCCGAGAGGCACTGCCGCTGCCTGTCTCTCAGACACTCGCCTTTCTGGATTTCTGATTACATCTTATGGACTCCTTTTCCTTCCTTGTTTTTCATTTCTTCATTGTGATAAAATACCCATATCTTATGCTGCTTTGTTTTGTCTTTGTTCTTGTTATTTATTTTTATTTTTTTCTCTTTAAAATAAGCAACCCCTACTGGTTGGTTTGTTTTTGCAGAACCAGGGATTGAACTCAGGCCCTTACGCTTGCCAGGGAAGTGCTTATTCCACTCAGCCATCTCTCTGGTCCTGTTTAAAATAAAAAAATAAAAATTAAAAACATATCATAGAATTTACCATCTTAACCATTCTTAAGCTCAGTAGCATTAATTACACCATTTCCAGGACCCTTTTCATCTTGTGAAACCACAACACTATTCTTACACTCTAACTCCTGGCTCCTTCCCTTAGCCCTTGGAAACCACCACCTTACTCTGTCTCTGTGTGGATGGGAGTTCTCCAGGGAGCTTGAATGAGTGTTAGTTCTCCTGTGACTGGTTTATATTACTCAGTGCAATGTCTCAAGGTGTATCCAGGTTATAGCAAGTCATCATCTCTTATGGGAAAGGGAGGCTCTGCTTCTTTCTGGTACTCTTGCTTCCCCCCACTTGCTCTATCTGATGTTGATGTTTAAGCTCTCAGGAAGAGCCTGAAGTTTCTCTTCCATGCGCTTGCTGCACTTCGTAGACCAACGGCGATGAGCCTATGGAGTATGTGCTGCAGCAAGCTATTTGTGACCATTGAAAGCTCTAAAAGTTTCACCATCACTGTCCTAGACCTTCAGGAACCAAGCACATAATTAGAGACTATTCGCTTATAAGAATAAGAGGTGGCACCCATGTCCCCTTGGAAATGAATACTGCTGATTGGATGAAGTTCTAGCTTCCATACAAGTGCCGGCCTCCAGATTAAGGGATCTGGGAACCCTGACCTGACACTAATCACTGTCCTCTAAGCTCCAGCACCATGGCATGGCAGCCACTCCAGTGATCCAGGGACAAGGAAGTGCCTGGATGCAGTGGAAGATTCTCCCAGGGTGTTCTGCCTCTTGCCTGTGTGGAGACTCCACATCGCTGGCACGTTTGTTTTTCGTTCCCAGCTGTCCGTCCCTTGCTCTCCTCAGGGAGCAAGCTTTTGCTTTTCCCCCACTTGCTTGCTCCTCATAACTTAGCCCACAGCTGAAGGCTGTCTGCTCCTCACAGGGCTCCTCCCCCAGGCCCTGCGCCTCCCCCTTTGACCCACCATCTCCCACCTTCACCTCACTCCTGAAGAGAACCTACCAGTAGCTATACCTGCAAGCTGATTTTAGTTGATATTTGTACAATCATTTTAAGTAGCATGGCCGAGGCCTCCAAAGCGGACAGTTTCCCTCGGTCTAGCATGGCCATGTCAATGCTTATTTCAAGAGTACGCAAGGAAGTAGCTTAAGGAACATGGGGTTTCCCCTGCTGGGCCCCACTCTGCTACTGACCTCTTTCCTGAGGAAGGATCCTTGACTTCAAAAGCAGCCCTGCCGCCAGCAGCTCAGCTGGGCCCCACCCCTTCTGGTGTCAACCCTTCACACGGCATGAAGAACACAGCCAAGGCGCTGAGCTTTCAGGGCTATGACCGCACGCACAGAAGAGCCCCTGCGCCTCGCCTACTGCCCTGCTATTGCAGTCCTGAGATTCTTAATAATTTCTGATGAAATGCCTGACTTCTCCTTTTACACAACTTGGCTCTGCAAATTATGCAGCCAGAGCTGGCCAAAGTGTCTATGTGTGACCACATCCAGTCCCCTACTGGGTAGAGACACAAGTGTCCTTGGAAGGGCAGGAAGCCTCACCCTGTGTCCTGGGAGGCCAGCCCTCCAGAGGTGAAGTCGCCTGTTCACGGTCGCACAGCCAGGCCAACTCCAGAGCCGCAGCCCCACGTTGCCTGGAAGAGGGCGAGGTCATGCTCTCTTCTCTAACCTCTGCCTGTGTCACTTACTGACTAACAGCATCCTACTTTAGCCAGTGTGTTTTATACTTTTGTATCTTTAAAAAAAATAAGGCCACCAATGTACTAGTCTGAAACTCAAAGGCAGCCCTGTCAAATTCATGCTGTCAGCGTTTCAAGTTACGGCGTGTTTCCAGGCCTGAGCTCGGATCGCAGGCTGACTCAGGAGGAGGTTAAACCACACTGCGGAGTGTTTCTCAGAGAATCCTTCCGCGGTGCCGCGCCTCAGCTGAGAATGAGCTGTGATCGCCCAGAGCTGGCCTTCCGCGCAGGCGCGGTGGGCAGCAGTGATGTGTAATTTAAGAAGTGCCCTCGAAAGGTGTTTTTGCTGTGCTGGAAAGAATATAAACTGTGGAATCACGCAGACTTGGGATTGAATCTGTGCTCTGAATTCATTAGCTCAGAGTCTTTGAATAGTTCACCCAATCCCATTTAGCCTAATTTTTCATCTGAAAAGTGGGAATATATATATATATATATATATATATATATCTTATATAACAGATATACATATATATCTAACATGTTTATAACACACATACATATATTACACACATATACATAAGTAACACATACACTATACATAATATATCATAAAATGTATACATAATGTATAAGACATTATGTATATGTCTTATACTATGTGTTATATGTATATATGCTATATATGTATATCATATATGTATGTATATAACATATATGACATATTTTTTAACTTTCTTATCCATAAATGGTGTCATCAGGGAGACATCTACACCATATGAGGCAGCGATTCAAGGCTGTAATCAATATTCAGGGTCTGTTCAATTAGTTCTATGCCATTTTCAACACCACCAACTGTGCCAGGTTAAGGAGCCAAGCCATGATCTGCCCCGGGCACCCGGACAAGAATCGCTTCTCTGGCAGCGAGCTCGGAGGAGCGCAGGTAGAAGCGCAGGCAGAAGCCCCCGAGGGCTTCAGTCCACAGTTGGTCGCTGAATAGGATGGAGCCCCGTTCAGGAAAGTGGTGGAGCGGTTGGAAAGGCCCCCGAGGAGACCACACCCACCTAAGGCAGAGGGGCTCTCCGGAGGAGGCTGCCTTAGCCGCTCAGAATACAGAGCAGAGAATTTGAGTTCAAACTTAGCTCCATTATTTTTCTCACTGTTATGGCTTGTGTCTAGGTGTCCCCCCAAAGCCTCATGCAGTCATGGGGTGGCTTCTGGAGTCTGTGATTGATTACTGCGGGTGTGGATGCTGCACCTGCCCTGGGCCAGGTAATCTGCATTACAGTGTAAGGAGGGGCGAGAGGCTGGCTCCTGCCCAGCTGCCTCCAGGCCCCTCCTTTTGCTCTCTGCCCTGTGCCCTCTGCCTGGGAGCCAGCTGAATAGGGACCGAAACCCCCAGTAATGTGAGCTGAATAAAGCTTTCCTTCCTTCATTCTGAGTGTTGGGTATTTGTCCCAGCAACGAGAGAAGGGTGACTGAGACACTCACTTTACCTTAGTTGGGTCAAACTATAAAAAGATGTGGGATAAATTATATCTTTTTTTTTTTTACAAGTATGTAAAGAGGTTTATTCTCACAAGTTATTGCTGGAAGAAGTCCTTCAAAAACCACTGCAGTGAAAATGTCGAAGAAAAGTACCAATTCTTCAGATTTTTTCACCACTGTTTAGTATGCGTTATCCTTATAACTTTGTATGACCATGTTTTAAAAGAGCTGCTCCTTCAGATGACGCTAACTCTGCGGTGTTCCCTTCCCAGGCTGTGATTCCGTAAGCAGTTACATCAGGGCTGTGAATTGTCTCACTGTCTTTTCACTCTCCCTTTTTAGTTCTTCAATATGGGCATCCAGGCGCTCTAGAATATGATGAGACCTCAGTTCCTCCTCTTCCAGAAATCTGGCAGCTATCTAACCCAGGGGAGACACGGGCACGGAGTACTCATGTAAACCCAATTCCAATTTCATCACCATTTCAGAAAGATGACGATTTTCTAATTTGAGTGATTCCAACTGATTCAAAATTTCCTTATGCTCCATTGCTTTTTCTTCTGCCTTTTGCATCTCTGCTTTGAGCTGCTTTTCCATGTTTGAGGAAGAACATTTGGCAGAAGCAATAGTGATATCTCGCTGATGTAACTCCCAAGTCAGCTGGGAAATTTCCATCTTCATACCTTCTAGTGCAGAGCTGTAAGTCTGTTCAGCTTGTAAAATCTGTTCTTTCAACTTCTTAATCTCTGCCCTGTACTCATTGTTATGTCCTTCCATCTTCTTCAGTTCTTCATATTTTTCCATTAGCTCTTGGCTCAGCTGTTTACATGTTGCGCTCACAGATTCCAAGCTGCCTTCTAGACGAGTCACCTCTGCTTGCAGGAGTTCTTCACTTGTATGGGTAAAATCCAACTGGGAAAGCACACTGCCCAAGTCGCCCTGCCCTTGAGAGGCGAGCCTCCTCTCAGCCTGAGAGTCCTCCAGTGGTCTTATAGCATCTCCTAGTTGCTGGGTGTTGGTTCCCTTTGCCTGTAACTTCTTTCGCATCTTTGCCTCACGGATGAAATTTTCATGAGACTGAAGATTTGCCTTCAATTCTCTTTTTTCTTCCTGCAGAGTCTCCAACAGCTTTTCAGATTCCCTCCACTTTTCCTCCTTTTGCCGCTGCTCCTGTAGGATAGACATATTGGTTCCAATCAAGTCGTTGACTCTTATGTTAAGACGCTCTATTTCCAACTCATTGGCACAGATGGTGTCCTTGGCCCGCTCAAGCTTACTGCTCAGGTGCTGGATTTCTGACTGGCTGGACAGCTCCACCGACTCTAATTTCTGTTTCCGATTGGTGAGCTGAGCCGAGACCGGGACTGGCATGCGGGTGTCTTTGGGATGGGATGCTTGGGGCATCTTCGTCCGCCCGGACCTGGGTGACTGCGAATCGAGGAGCTCTGGCGGGCCAGCGGGCAGGCACAGCCCGAGCTGGTAGGTTTGGTGTGGACCCCGCCGGAAGGCAGGCTGCCGATAAATTATATCTTAAGCACAAACAACACATTAGTATCATACTCATTAGTAAATACACCAGGAAGAAAAGAGTAGTTTTATTTTGGTGAAAAAACTGCAACAGAATCAAATAGAAATATGAGGAAAACACTTGTTTCTCAAAGACGAAAGAAAATGGTCACGGCCGCGCCTCGCTGTCACAAGCCTGGGCTGCATGTACACGTGATGGTTTGGGCTTTCATGCTGCCCTTCCAGCCTTTTAAGAGTCAGTCTCCTTCACCATGGAAGGACTTCTGGTGTCACAGCGCTGCCACAGCAGAAGTCGCCAGAGCTGATGGGGTCTTGCGTACCCGAGGCTGCCTTTCGCGGGTCAGCAGCGCTTCACGAGGCAACAGGGATGGAGCTGTAGCTCAGAGGAAGAGCACTTGGCTGCTATGCCCAAGGCCCTGGATTAACTCCCAGCGCAACCAAAAATACACAGTAAATAAAACAAAAGCTATTTGTATAAAATACCTCAAAGGTAAATCTTGAAAAATTCTTTTAAAAATTTTTCATAACTGCTTCAGAGTTATTGAGTTTCCTTTTCAGGTGATTAAAAATGTCTGACATTAGTGATAAAAATGGTGGTAGTGTGACCTTGTGAATTTACTAAATATTATTAAAGTGTACTTGTAAATGATGGATTATCTGTTATGTATACTTTACCATAATCAAAAATTAATACTGAAGTTATTTATAAAATTTATCATAAAATAGTGTATTTGGGGAGCTCGTAACCATATTTTTCTTTGAGCAATTAGTTATTGTTTCCAAGTTTTTATTATTTAACTTTATTTTAATACGTATTTTTCAAGCATTCCAACTCCTCATTTCACCTCCACTACCAAACACAAAATATTTCAATTATATATTTAATTCAGAGTCCAGGAAAAAGAATTTCACTGAGTCAGATCTTTTCAGGATAAGAGAAAAACCAATCTTCAAAATCATCTTTTACTCTCTGAAAATATCTTTGCTTTCAGCTACAGAAATGGATGCCTGGACAAGAACGTGACACTTGCATATGGTACCACATAGACACAGCCAAGCTTTTATTTTATTTTTTTCCATTAAGTGTATTTTTAAAAGGACATACTTAAATTCTTAAAATACATGTGTTTTCTTGAATTACATTTTTAGAATTTTCTGAAACACAATTAGAACTTTTTTGGCCAGTTGGTTTTATTTGTAGCTCATTTGGTTTAGAAATATTGATTTTGCACAATAATTTTCATTCTGGTACAAGAAAAATGACTATGAACATAGTAAAGTATCAACTGTCATATCTTAGGAGAACAAAGAACACATCAGAGTCCAGCGTAATGGAAATTCTAAGAGGCACCTGAAGGCTCTTCCTCACCAAGAGTCTGCGGTCCAGGGACGCTGGGCCCCCTCCGACTGCTGGCTTCACACCCAGCTTCTGTATTGTTCATGAGGTAACTGCCTTCTGCCCCAGCCTCCCTGCAGTGCGGTGGCAATGGCGTGGGTCCATCAAAGGAAGAAAAGTCCTGTAACCCCAGATGTCAGGGAGGGCGACAGCCTGGCAATTTCTGCTGGCATCTCAAGTAGCAAACCCAAGAACTTTTTGGAGTTGCTGTGGCCCAGTTTCCTTGTCATTTCACCAGTCTCAGTGCGGCACGCCCCTTGCCTGACTCTTGGGTTGGTTGGGCCTTGCCATGAGTGGCAAGGGAGTGTTCAAAGGCTGCACGTTCCTAGCAGCAGCACCCCGCTCACCTTGTGCCACGTGAGCCCGCTTTCTGTCTGCTCGTAACCCAGCTCAGCAGCTGCACATGCCGAGGGTTCCCACCAAAAATCTGCAGATCCTGCTAAGAAGGAAGGAAACAGTAGGATATGAAGTGCCCAGGAAATTCGCAAATTGTTTTTTATGACTAACAGGCTGTTAGGAAGAAACAGTGCTGACCACAGGGTACTCCCGTGTCAGGTGGAGACACAGCGGTGACTCTCTTTGTGTCCCTTATGTCTGATCCAGCTACCCACCCTTAGGGCAGGTGGCGGTCACGCCCAGGTGTGGTAGCTTATCCCAACATCGCGCATGAATCAATCCCAGCGTCACATCTTTGCTCCCAGCGTCACAGACCCTAGATCCAGCCGCCTCCCAAATGCCCCACCCAGGACTGTGTGAGGCTATGGGGATGTCTACGCAGAAGCCATAAGAGCTCCCTTTCTCTTCCTCCTGCCACCTGTCACTTCCTCTTCTTCCTTTAGTTCTCCCTAAAGACTGAAACCAGTGCCCCCAGAGCCCACACTCTCTCTAGTAAAAATTCCGACTTTAGTGATGAACAAACAGCAAGGCTACAGCGGAGAAACACGTGTACTCAGTAAGGACCGCTGGGCAGACTGAAGGCCATCGCCAAAGACAGAGGGGAAAGTGGTCAGAGAGACCCCGCGAAGCCAGTCACCTGTCCTAGGAAGGGCCCAAGTGAAATAAGTCACCATGTCTCAGTCAGGAGGTAACACCTGACTTTACCAATTCTGCAGTTTATCAGCTATGGCACTAAAAAAAAAAAAAAAAAAATTGATTAACTTTTCTGAACAAATGTCCTCCTTTCTACAAATGGGAATAGCTACAGTGATGTGAATATTCGTGATTCGACTGAACTGTATATTTAAAATTGGTTGGGATTTTTCTTATCCCAATACAAAGGGGACCATAAGCACACCGACTGCACAGGAAGGCTGTGAGGCTAACGCACACACGACACACGCTCAGTGCACGCCGCAGGTGATCTTGCTCTCATGGTTCCGTGGCTCTGATCACTGGCCTGTGTGAGGGACTCTTCTCAAGTGGCTTGTGGGCTTGTGCTGTCATCAGAGCCCTGGACTGTGACCAAGGAAGGTGGAGGGGGCGTCCAGGCACAGAGAGCTTGTCTTCCCAGCAGGAGACTCAAACCAGGTATGCAAAGGGAAGAAACTAGGTACGATAAAGTTGGACATCTTCAACTCAATTAGTGGGGTACTCACTACATTTTCCTGGAATTTCATTTGCTCCTTTGGGACTGTGATAGGTTGACTGAGCATATTCCTGAAGTTGATGCTGCCTCCACATTTCTGTATCTACCTTAGTTATTGGCCAGTTAGGAGCCTGGACTTCAAAGCCAGATGGTCTGAATGGCCGCTGTGATCTTTGTGAGCCTCAACATCCGCATCTGTGGAATGGGGAAGGCGGGCACTAACCGCAGGGGCTTCCCGGTTATCCCTAGAGAAAGCTGCTTGGCCACTTCTGTGCCAGCCTTGCCATGGGCTCGTTCTTGTTTTGTTTCATTTGAGACAGTCTCACTGTGCAGCCCAGGCTAGTCTTAAACTCACAATTCTCCTGCCTCGACTTCCTGAGTCCTGGGATTACAGGAGTGCAGCACCACTTCCTTCAGACTCAGGCTTCAGAAGGAAGCAGTCTCAGCGCTGACTTTACAAGTCTAAATATAGCACCAGCAAAGCCACAGGGGCCGGGCTAGAGGAAGTAGGCAAGGAAGCCTGGGCCAGAACTGGCCAAGTTGGCGGAACTGCGGAGGTGGGGGCTGGCCGTTGGAGGAGTTCTGCTGCATGCACATAACAGGACAGTGAAAAAGCATGCTCTGGGCTGGGGAGGTAGCTCAGCAGTCCAAGTGACTGTCTGGCAAGCGCAAGGACCCAGGTTCAATCCCTACTGCATGCCAGACTGGCCCCAGGCCACCAAAATCTATAATCCCAGCACCAGGGAGACTGAGACAGGAGGATCACTATGAGTCCCAGCTGTGTAGGGAGACCCTGTACCAAATACATTTTTTAAAAAAAGTGTTCTGCTTCAAAATGGCAAGCTAGCAGCCAAGACTTCAGCTGCAAAATAGAAATTATCCCGAGAACAGTATGTGCAGATCGGTGAATGCCTCATCTCTTTCTTTCTAATTTCTCTGACTTCACGTAAGCTGAAAGGACAATTCCTCTGTCCTGCACCACCAGAAGGCAGGGTTCAGGAGCAGCTCAGCTTTATGGCCTGGGCCTGAGTTTTCACTGTGCACTCACTGAGTATTTGTGGAATACATAAGACAAATGATGTCTTGTATAAAATGGTAAATCATGACATTAAACTTCAAGGGTGGAACATGGAAAACTAAGTGAATCGGGAAATAACCAAGACCAAAATGAATGCAAAGAAGAATCCGTAATGAATCAAAGTAATAAAAGTTTAAATGAAGAACAGAGTTAGTACTACTCTTGACTTTTACCCCAGGCCCCACCCAGCAGGCCTGGCTTTGTGCTCCTAGTGTCCTCTTAGAGCTATCAGTTGGGCAATCCCACCCCCTCTTCCTACCCAGATGAGACCCTAAAGGGCGCACCTGCTGGCATCCTATTGCCTCCAAAATCTCGCTGTCACGGGCTTGGGCTTGGGCTCAGCAAAGTCACCTCCATGGTTGGCTTGCCCAGCCCTTCCATTCTCCTGCCCTACGTGTGACAAGCGACTGAGGTCTCTAGGGACTTCCCCTAGACCATAACCCCTTCCCTGAATCAACTCTGGCTTGATTCGGACGGCACTGCTCTCCTTGGCCTGTAGGCCAGCAAGGTTCTTTCTTGCTCTCTGTTCCAAAGCCCTGGCCTCAGCCTCAGTTACGTCCCTCCCACAACAGCCACGTTCCTGCTGCTCTCAGCTCCTAGAGATCCCAGCACCCCAGGCCTGCGGCGACAGACGCTGTGGCACGTGGGCCACAGCGGGCTGTTTGTGTTATTGGGGTCTTGAGAAGGATCAGCATCACTGCCCCGGACAGTTTCGGCCCTGCGCCCTCGTACTTCCCGTTTCTGACACCTGTGAGCTGCTCTGGCTCTTCTGATCTGACTAGTGATATGACTGGAGCCGAAAGATCAGAGAGAAAGAT